TACCAATGAGTTTACTGTCATAAGCATTGGGAGAGAAATTCCATTTTAAAAGAATATTCATGAAAAACACTTTCTGAATATGTAATTGGGAGAAATGTCACAGCAATTGTTAGAATCGCACTTACTAATTAGAGAAAGTACCAAATACCATGTGATTTATGTGTTCCATGAAAACTAAACTAGGGTTTCTGATACTGTATATTCAGAATGAATTTTGCTTGTGTTCAGTATACAGACCATGCTTCAATTGCAGAAATCACTCACTGAATCATCAGGACAGAACAGATGCAAGAAAATTGTGATCTTCTTGATGAGAAACAGAAAAAAAAAAGGAAAAAAAAAAAAAAAAAAAAAAAAAAAAAAAAAAAAAAAAAAAAAAAAAAAAAAAAAAAAAGAAGAAAAAAAAAAAGAAAAAAAAAAAGAAAAAGACACTGGATCAATTATTCACTGCAAATTACACACTTGGATACCATGATCATTATAACTCCTTCACATCCTGTTACTCTACACTCCATTATTTCTGCTTACCCCTATGGAGCCTGCCCTTTTACCTTCCTGACACTCCCCTCTTTTCTAGTCTGTCAAACAGACTATTTCAATCCCTGTTTAAAGGATTTCTTATTTCTCCTTTGTGCACCCTGCCATCCCTATCTCTTCCACTTGCAGCTCCATCAGAGCAGTGGCTTTCATGCCTAAAATGGTGGGGGAAATGCTGGTTTAAAGACCATCTGGCTTCTATTCACAGAGACACTATAGAAAACCAAACTGGTTTCTTAAAGCTCTTACTGTAGTGTAGAAAAGTGTTCTTTCCCCTGCCACACTCTACTTTTAAACTGGAATAATTTTATATTTTTCTCCCAAAGTCTTCAGACTGGTTCTTGAAACTGCTACCATCATGAAGGAGCACTGTATGGTTTCCATAATGAATAGCACAAATAGTTTTTAATGAATCCTGCCTTTATCAGCAGTGCTCAGCACAAAAATGGATTTTTCATGGTGAATTTGATATAGAGGATGCAAAGGTACTGGTTTATGGGATAATTGTTAATTGTTGGGGCTTATTAAGGATATTTCTTCAATTTACCATTGTATGGGTACATGTCAAGGGTGTCTTTGTCAGTCTTGTATAAAGAATTTAAATAATATCCTCTCTGTCACTGTGAGATGTAGCAATATCACTCTCTCTGTTTACCATTTAATCAACAAATTCAAGCGACTTGGCCAAAGCTGGGAAGGAAGGAAATCTGTGATCAAAGAAAAAGCCAAAGAGACTTGCAACCTATGCCAGCACTTAAGCATCAGATGCCTTGTCTTCAGAAAGCACAGAAGAGCTTAGTCTTCTGGAATACTCCAGCTTTCATAATATCTCAAGCTGCTTCACGCTCTAAGGCATAATTTTGCTTTTTTAATAATTCCTGTCACTGGAGAGGTTGCAGAGACAAAGAAATTTAAAATGCTTGTGTTGAAACCTAAAAAAAATGTTAACTTTAGCTTTGATAGCTTTCTGCCTATTTTCCAGTACAATAAATCTATAAAAATTTTATCAATTACTTAAAACTAGACTTGGGTCTATTTAATCAAAAGATGTTTTAGATATTTCAAATGGCCCATGGAAGAGCCTGAAATAGTAATTGTTTTGGGGTACAGCAGTGGTGGAGCACTGAGTTCCACCTCCAAACTCAATGGGTTCCTTTAGTGTCTAGATCAGACAGACCTGGTTTACAATAGGACATTCAGCGGCCTCATCTCAGGAACAAGATCTCATGTGATGATGGTCAGAATGGCTTATGCAGGGAATACAACCAAAGAAATCCTCCTATTCCATTTTTCCTTGACCTAATAATCATCAACTCAGGACATACTGAAGGTATTTAATATAGGTCCTGACTGGATATGCTTTGTGGTACTGTGAGATTATATAACCAGTTACCTCCAAGGGAGTGATGCATTTCACTCTGAAGAGAGAAGATACAACACACTCTGAAATAAACAGTGATCTAAGAGAATTGAAATATTGAAATAAAACAGTGATCGAAGAAAATTCTGTGGGAAATGTGGCAGTGATTTACCAAGATTCAACAGCAAGGCACACTGGATTATTTGCTGCATAGGGAACAGGATTACACAGAACTGTCAGGCAGATGCTCTCATTAGGACATGAGGTTTAGAAAGAACCTTTTCAAAGAACACTCTAGGTGCACCTTCATCCACTTCTAATCTCAGACTTGGTCAAAAGTTTACTTCTAAGGGTTTATATGTGCTTAGTCAACTCTTTATATTCCTTACCTCTAATTTCAAATTATAACATGCCATTAATCACTTACTAAGGAACACTTTCAGCAAGGAATTTGAACCTCAAGAGGAGCATTGAGGGGCATGCATGTTCAAGGGGAGACCCCACTGCAGGCAGGAGAACTCAGTGTCTGCCCACTATTTATGGAGTAAAATGATGGAATTATATTTGCATAACAGCAAGATTTTTGGGTCACTGTTCCAGACAGCTTTTGTCTACCATGTTGCCAGTCCAGTTATTAATCTGTCTCCAGTCATCACAGCCCCCACAGGTGGCTATGGTTTAAGTGATTGGGGAGAGCACACCCTCACATCACATTCAAGCTTAAAAAGATGGAATAACATGTGATCTTTATTTATCTAGTCTGGGTACTCAGACTGGCTCATTTTTGTACAACAAATCTGAATGCAAACTATGGAAACAGAGACCTGTGTTCCTGTGTGAAAAGAGTGGGAGTAGAAGTAGGCAATATTATGCTTGAAACAAAAGAGCATCAAGAACCTTATTTTGGTTTTTCTTTTTTCTTGAAGTTAAGTTCATTATATCCAAGACTTAGTCTGATTTTGTTGGCTTCAGATAGAAAAAAATTGGTGCCTTTTGTCTCTAACCTATTCTAACCTGCCAATACAGGCAAAAGTCTTGCTACCTGAATCAGAAGTAATAGGACTTCCAGGTTTACTTGCATTAAATAGAGATTATGCATTTTATATAGTTCCTTAATTTTAATACAAAACTTAAAACATACAAACAAACATATCAAATATGTACTTTTCAGAATTGGATTCAGAAAATTCTGTGAGAGAATGTCTAGTTTAACTATAAGAAATACTTTAAAATCATTGTAGGATGGTTATCTAAAATAATGGCCTCATACTGCCAGAGTTTTTTCATCTTTCTGAAAAAAATTATACAGAAATAATTAATTAGTATCAAACATTTTGGAGAACTATGTTCTGTAATGTTTTGTGATTTCTATTTTTTTTGTATAGGAGAATATCACTGTGAAAGGACCCTATTTTCAGACAACTAATGTTTTGAAAAATAGTTCTCCACACTTTTTCCTATTGAATAACCCTGCTAATCCTATAAACAAGGTATTCAAAACTTCCACTGACAAAAGCTAACTGATTTTAAAGTGAACTGAGCCCACTTCCAAAATTTACTGTTAAATTATGGGCCTTGCTGTCTGAGCAATGAGATAAATATCTAAAGGTGATAAATATCACCTAATATGTCTATTAGAAAAAAATGTTTTGGATAAACCCCATAGGAATATCCAGAAAAATCCCTCTGAATCTGTCATGTGGCACAAAGATAAACATGTGGTTTGACATGAGAAAAGAATTTTCTTGGAAGGAAGAGGTCAGTCCAGTCAGGGGTCAGATTTGGATACTGACACTTGGGGTGACCAATTGAAGGTGGACACACCTCTGAGATCACATAGGGGTTAAAAGCAGAATTCCCAGGGGAACTCGCTCTCTTTGGTTCTGGTCATCGGAGGGTGCAGACCTCCCCTGCCCAGCCACGAGCTGGGTGGGGGAAGGGAAAAGCCATGTGGCCTGGGAAGGTAGGCCAGGGGTGAGGGATCAGGAACCGAGCTGCGCCAGCTTCTGCGGATGGAAGGGTGGAAAACGTCTGAGATGTCTTTGTTCCCCCCACCACAACCTACAGGGAAAAGAGACAGAGAGCCTGCAGACACCCGGGAGTTTGCCGGCAGAGGAGAAGGAGAAGGTGGGGAGACAGGAGACGAAGTCCTGGGCCGAGATATTTCAGCCGTCCGGGGAGTCCGGGAATTTTAACCCTTCCCTGTGAAATGAAGGCTTTGTGAAATATTGCTCCTCCTCAATTTGAAGGAAAGAGAGACAGCCAGGGACCTCAGTTGTTAGGGAAAGAAGGTTGGGGGAGATGATGAGGTGACTGTTGGCTGGACTCTTCTTGTTAGCCATAGAGTGAACCAATTCCACCTCCAAGAGAGACTGCATTTTAGGGGGATGCAATGGTGAGCCAAGAAACTCCTCCAGCAACTACCAGTTCGGGAATGAACAGAGGAAAGTGGAGGAGGGTGTGAGGATGCCCTCCGTCTTCAGAGAAGAAGAGAAGATGATCTCTGTTCTTGGACCCTCAGCCCCAGGGGAAAATGGGGGGGGGACTGCAGTCCCAAAATGAGACACTGGACTGTTGTTCCTGTTGGTCCTTGGCAAAGCATCCTTAAAGGGGCCCTATAAGCAGTCCGTCCATGCACGGTGGTGAGAGCACTGTGACATGGAGAGGAGAGTGTCACACTGGCCTGGTGTGCCTGGGCAGTGCCATGTGTGACATGGAAACACAAGAGGTGTCTCGCTGTGTTTCATGGGGGGGTCTGTGGTGCAAGGGAGACTCCTCTCTCCCCTGATGGACTCAGTATTGATTATGTGGAAGGATGAAGACTTGATTAAGGGTCCAAATGTGTGTTGCTGTGGTTTGTTGGAGTTGGATGGTGGGAGGAGGAATGTTTTGAAAGGTTTTCATTTAGAATTTTGTGGGGTTTTTTTTTCCCTTTTATAGTAGTAGTAGTAGTAGCAGTAGCAGTGTACTAAAGTTTTCCCCTTGTTATTAAGTTTGGCCTGCTTTGCTCTGTTCTTGATCGTATTTCACAGCTTTCAACTGATAGGTTACATTTTCATGGGGGCGTGGCATTGTGCCAGTGTCAAACCATGACAACACCAAATACAGCACTTTGTAGGCATCTCTGTAGTACAAGCTTCAGCCATGAAGCTCATCCAATACAGAGGCAGAAGAGAAACTTCTTTGTTTTCTCAGTCCAAAGACAAAAAACATCAGCTGATTCAAAGGGCAACCTACCCCTAAAAAGAAAAAAGAAAGAAAGAAAAAATAAATTGGATATTATTGTCTTTGTTGTTCACCTCCTACTGTCCTGAAAATTCAAGAAGAAAACTAAAAAAGAATATTTGGTTTAACTGAATATACAGCCAGTAGTGAGCATGGACTTAGTGAGTCAGATATCACACCAGCAAGGAAACATTCCTGGCCAGCTGCATGAGGAAAATCTCAACCCATGGCAAAAATTTTAGAGAATATTTTGTAGTAGAATATTTTGCAAAACTTAAACCTTGCAGTAAACATCTTTCCTCTCCATGGATATCTTTTTTATTAAATAGGTAGCTAAATCCTAACATCTCTTTTGCAAAATTCTTCTCCTGACAGCTGTGATCCATGCTCAGGGAGACAGTCACAGCCACAGGTAAGTCAGCTCTTTGTTTATGGGACTACTCTACCTTTTTTACAGTCTGGAAAACACAGCCACAAAAGGGGCTAAAAGGTAGTGCTGAAGGTCACACTAGATGCCATTCAAAGGGCTGAAGGCTTTCTTCATCCTGTGTGTACCACTCAGTCTCTGTGTTGAGGGTTTGAAGGCATCTTCAGGGAGGTGGAAGCTAGCCACTGCATCTAGGGATGAATACATCAATGACAGCAGGAAGACTGTATGTTTTCATCTCTTCTCTAATCCCCAGGGCACAGCCACCAGCTTTCACACACAGGAGTAACTGCACCGCTCCCTTATCAATGTTCTAATCATGTGAGTCTTAAATCTGCTGGAATGCCATCTTAGGGCTGATGTATGAAATAGTACTTAAAAAGGCTGCAGCTGGGGGATATACTGTCTGTTATTTAAGTGTATATATATATATATATATATATATATATATATATATATATATATATATATATTCTTTCTTCCACTGAACACATTTTTGAAAAGCCCTGCATTTGCTGTGCTGTTGCCAGCGGAGCAGCATGAGTGTGGCAGAAAATCAGTGTTTAAAAAAAAATCCCAAAAACAACAGGTCAGTCCACTACCCTCTAGCTTGATTTAAAGGATTCTTTTCTTAAAATACATGTATAGAGAATAGTGGAGGGGAAAAATGTCTGGACATGTGCTTTATATTAGTTGTCTGGTGATGGTGACAGGTGCATTTGTCAGGCCCCAGGGAGCAACTCCGTTAGATTCACTTTATTAATTGAGCAGATTACATGTTTTAGATTTATTCCGTCCTCCTCCCCCAGCTCCCTTTTCTTTGATATTCTATGGTTAAAGAAGGGAAAGGGAAAATAAACTTACTTTCAGCTTTATCAACTTATAATTAAGCATGAGGGGAGTGGAAAAATCCAACAGTAATGCAGAGGGTGCATAACACTGACAAGGTCAATTATCTCCTGATAATTCTCACAACAGCAAGTATTAATAAGATTAATAATATTAATTGAATCTGAGTTTGTAGAGTTTTAATTCTTATTTTAAAGTTTTCTTCAACATAATGCAGACAGGATTGTAGATGCAAGTGGGAGGCTGATTTAATGGACTCCAGCACTATTAGTTTCTTAACCAGGCTGAGGGGGTCCTTGCAGTATTTGCTGTCTATCAAGATATCTGGAATTAAGAATGCAGAAAGCAGGAAAGGGAGGCTGGGAAAAACCATTTCCCCAGGATTATGGATGCTTTCTATGCTAATTGTTGAATAGGATCCTTTTGTCTCACTTTTGATTGAAATACAGTTTCAAATATAGTTTGAGGTACTTTATACTCATGGTTCTTTCAGGGGTTTTGACTCAGCTGATCAGAATCAAATTTTCATTTGATGTACATTGTAATAAATCTATAATAGTTGTAATGTGACCAGATGCACTAGTGCAACTCAACAGAGTTGTCCTGGCACCTCTCTGAAAATTCTACCTCAGGAATGGCCATAAATGGGAGCATACAGCTTTTATTTATGTCAGTTTTATTTAGCTCATGAACCCTTCCTGCTATTATTTATACCTTAAACTCCAGGTTTTATGTTTGGGAAAAATTGTTTATTTATTTTCATAAGAAATTGCCAAGACAGGGTTCTATTTTGTTTTACCTGGTGATCCAACAAATATAAATTAGGAGTCTCTTGTACTTTATTGTGTCCATACTATGCTCCTACATTCACAGAATACTAATGCATCTACTAAGGACTTCCTTGAACCCCATTTCATTCATTTTTTTACAGTGAAGCCCAGTGTGTTTAATAATACTGAATTTGAGGTTTTCCAGGAAAAGCTCCCACTTTTTAAATTACCTCGATCTCTATTTTATTCTAGGTAGAATCACAAGGACCAAGCACAACTAACTAACCAAAAGTCAATATATTTAGTTTTTTCTTCAGAGATACTGAATTAGTAATACAGATAGTTAGATTGCCCACTACCACAAGCATCCATTTTTCATGGAAATTGGTGATCTAAGCAAACAAGATGTTGTGAATACACAAAAAAAGGCCAGTAATCCTGAGTCTCTGGAAGACAAAAAAAAAAAAAAAAAGTATTTATATCCATAAAATGTGCTCACCAGTGGGGGCAAGATTCACAGAGTTTTGTGTGCACAATGCAGCACAAATATTGACTAGTAAAAAGACTGTTTACTGCTGAAGAGATGGGAGATTCATTAGTGGCATATCAGAACCATAAACTGGCCTACTCCAGAGGCACAGAAGTTTGTAGCAATGAAAATGATGTCTGAGAAGGATACTGCATCTGTAAGTTTGAACACTGGAAGGCTTAGGGAGGAAAGAAAAGCATGGCATTATTCTGAAACCCTGATGAAAAACTTCCTATGAAGGAGAAGCAAGCACTTGGGAAATAAATGCAATATAATCAGGAAATACTTTTGTTTTCTGATAGAGCATGGCAGTTACTGAGGAAGGAAAAAAATTATTTTTTTGTGTTTTCGCTTTTAAATGCCAGGTTTTTATTTCTCATGGGAATTATAAAATATAAATTTACATTTTGACAATATATCCCTGTGATAAACAAAGTGTCCCAATGGTTATATTTGTGCCATTTTCCCCCAAACTCTAACTCTTGTGAATTGAGAAGTGTGATGGTGAGTGACAGCAGTCTAGGGACAGAGTATTAAAATTTGAAGCCTACAAGTCGTGTTCAATAAAAATACATCAAGGAGGATGAAACCTTTACAATTCACCAGCACATTTTACTCTACAATTTTCAAAAGGAAAGTAGCAGGGGTCTCAATCAAAGCATGTTGAAATGTTCCATCAAACACATATCTTGTAAATGTAGCCTGACAGTGCCTGCTTCCATTTCTGATCTCCTCACTTAAATGGGTAACACATGTGTAAACGATGTTTATTTTATTGTAAATAGAGCGTTGTCCCTGTCCTTTAATATCACAGCTCTGTGTTTGCAGTTTTGGTGTCTCCTTTAACTGCTGATTCAGTATTCTCCTATACACATTTATTAAGGCTGCAGGCCTCTGGACAGCTATTCCATCCCCCTGCATTGTGGCAGGATTGACTTCACAGACTTTTTCCATCCCAAATAATTGGGTATTACATCCTGCCCTGAATATTATTTCTTCGATTACGTGAGCTCTTTCTGGTGTTTTATTCCATTGCCTGAACTCTTCATTTTAGGCTAGTTAAAAATTTTTTATCCAGTATTTAGGTTTTCAGCTGCAGTGTAGTGCAAAATGTCCTCTTCTGTCCTTGATGAGAAAGAGAGGAAAAGTTGTTCTAACTTTTCTTCTAGCCCCTCAGAAATGTTAGCATGCTCTGTGCCCTTTATCACAGTGCTGTGAAACAGGGTTGTGTAGATAGAGGTGAGGTGTGACTGCCTGGTTGCTCAGATGTCTTCACCAGTGACACTCACATCAAGAAAGGCACCATGATCCCACCTATTTCTGATTTCAGATAACTTTTGGCAGTGCAGAGACTCGTGTGTTTCTTCAGAGACATCAGACCAGTGGTCCCTCTAGTGACACCTTCTCCTTCAAGTTACCAGCTCCTACAGGCAGACATTCTTTGGAGAATATTTGGTCCCTCAGCTGGTGCTTAAGTGTGATGCCTAATTTCTAACTATCTGCTAGGTCACATTTTCAGATCTTTGGCCATGGTGTACTGATGGTTCACCTCCATCTTAAACACCTACTCTCAGAGTAAAACCTTTTGATATGTCTGATGGTATTCTCTGTTTGTGATTTATTTTACAGCAGAGGACATGCCTGTTTTTTTACCCAAGGATTGCCCATCCCAGTTGCAGAAATGCAGCCAGATAGGCCCAAGGCTCCTGAATTAATGTTTCCATACACCTTTCCCATTGTGGTGTTCAGCTTTGAATTTCCTTGTGATTTCAGTGACTGTAGCAAGATTAAGAAACACCCATACAAGCACTGGAGAAGGAGGCAGGAAGGAGCAGCAGAAATTCCCCCAGCATTCTATGGAGACTGCCACTCTGGAACAGATGCCCACACTGCTGTCTGTCAATAGTATCCCTGGGGCAAACGCTCATGTGAAGGACCCCACTCCAAAGGAGGCTGGATATTCCTGATGTTTCCTGGAATCTAAAGACAAAATTTTCTGAACAATATTGCAAGTGGTAGGATGAAAAGCTATTTTTAATGAAAAGTTTTGAGTGGACAAAATATGCCTATGAGCATGTATGGTAAAGGATTCCTGCAATTTTTGTAAAGATAATTAATCAGTATGTCTAGCTGGTACATCCAATAGGGGATGCACCAGTGGAGGCAACATCAGCTGCCCCAGTATTTCACTCTTGCGTCAGCCCCTTGGAGGTGTTCCAGGGGATTCTTTGCCCTATTTCTTCTTAGGTGTCTTAAGTTCTGATGGAAGGCAAGATGTCCTTGTCAGAAATTCTCTTCTTAATGTTAAGACTAAATAGAATTTCAAGAATGTGTTAGAAAGGGTAATTTCATTATTCAAAGTTGTGAGAAAAGGTAGGAAAAGCACTAGAAGCCATAAAACTATATATATTAAATATGTATATTTACTTATTATTTATT